GAGGCCATTCGGGTGGTCACGGACCGGGGGGTCCCGAGGCCGTTCAGGTGGTCATGGACTGGCGGTCCCGAGGCCATTCAGGTGGTCACGGCCCGGGGGGTCCCGAGGCCGTTCGGGTGGTCACGGACCGGGGGGTCCCGAGGCCGTTGGAGTGGTCACGGCCCGGGGGTCCCGAGGCCGTTCGGGTGGTCACGGCCCGGGGGTCCCGAGGCCGTTCGGGTGGTCCTATCTGCTCCGAAGGTTAGGAACTATTGTTGGTTTTCAGAAGCCTCTGACTTAACAGGGGATCAAGAATGTCCAAAGGAAAACACCGGCGTTTATGCTTTGGAATCAGCCCCGGGAAAAAGGTCTGTTCAGAAACACAGCGCTGCAACCACTCACACGGAAAACCAAACAAGGATTTTACTTACTATGGCATCTTTAACAATTTGCTTGGCCACCTGCTCCGGTTTGCAAATAGATGTGGTCTCAGAAATAAGACGAGTCTCCAAAGGCTAAAAGTGGAAAACACGGACTTAGCGGTTCCATCATTTATTTTCACCTTTAAAAATAAATGACTCTAAATAACTCTGCGAGACCCCTCTCATTTCATTTATTTATTTTAAAGATTTATTTATGTATGCATCTAGAACTGGGGTGCCAGCCAGAGGCCGAGTGGGGAGCAGAGCAGGTAGGTGGCCTGAAGCGCTGCTGAGGGAGCAGTGGGGAGTCCGGAGAGGTCTGCTGCGCCCTCTCGGGGATCGAACTTGTGCTGCAGTGGCTGCGGACAGCTTTAACCCACCAGGGAGGCCCCCTCTCATTTTATCAGCAATTCCAGGTTTCTGAATTTGAGAAGATGCCCATTTTGGAATCCATCAGATTCTAAGTCGTGTGTACCGGTGACTGTGTAGAATGCAGCTCCGCAGTCAGGAGAGGGTCCTAGCCGCTCTGCAGAGTGTGGCCCTACAAGGTCTGGGCCCCAGGGGGACCCACAGGCCAGAGTGGGCACACATGCCCCCAGCTGACTCCTCCTCGGGGCTGCGCCACCTGCCTGGGGCGCTGGCAGACCCCACTGGCACCTGCCGAGCAAGGTCGCTCCGTGGCCTGATCTCTGAGGGGCCTGCAGAGGCCAGGAGAAAGGGGGAGAGGTGATGCTGAGAGGGCCCTGGCCCAGCTACGTGCTGGAGCATCAGAACCCCAAATCTGGGCCTTCTGTTCTTCAAAGGCTGTCGGAGGTCCCCCTCAATGGTTACTCAGCGCGGAAAGCCTCCCCTGAATCTTGAACTGGCAATAGCTTCTCCCATCTCTGAACATTCCTGCCTGTTTGTCTGCTGGCATTTTACTTGCCTTCGCCCCCTCCCGCTCCACCCCCGCGGGCTGCTTGCATCTTACTCCTAAGGTCTTGGCGGGTGAGGCTGCTCTTCATTTACTTTTGCATCTTCTTGCTGGTGATGTGCACACACGTGCCCCCAAATGCCTTAAGATGGGGTTTCAATTAGGAGTTTCAAAGGAAAGTCTTAAAACTGCACAAAACTGTACATTTGATTCACTGTGTATGCTTGAAAAAATTAAATGAAATAAAAACCAGAATGTGCTTCCTTAAAACAGAAAAGACGTCATAAAAGTCAAATGGTTCTGGTCGAACCTGATTTAAGAGAAAGGCCCTTTCAAAGGTGCCACCGCTTGAGACTTCCCGACCACCAGCTGGCACAAGCAGATGTGGCCAGACACACAGCAGACTCCAATGCCCGTGGCGCCCCTGTGGGCTCCCAGAGCAAGGCTGCCTTCTGTTTACTGGAAGAGTCTGTCCAACATTTCACTGGAGGGGGAAACCCAACTCAACAACAAAACGCTGGGCTCGTGGGGAAATGACACCCCCCCCCCCCGCCAGCTCTGGCGTCTCACGAAAGCACAGCTTAGCAACGTTGCAAATCTGCTTCCCAGATCCCTACTTGCTCCAAGGCAGGACATTTGGCTTACATTTGTTTCTTTGAAACAGCAGGAATTTTAAAAAAGTTCCAAAGGAAAACAGGTAGGGGGTAAGCTTCTAAGTCACACTCGATTCTGCAAACATGCAGCCCCTGGCGAATGAAGTGTCAATTCTTCTGTCACCATGGTCCACGATTACGAGGCGATATCGTGAGGAGAAAAGCAAGCCGAGCCTGGGCCGGGGGAAGCAAGTTCTGACTCAACCCTTTCTCCCCACTTCTGTGTGCACATGCTCAGGCACTACCTGGGCCACAGCAGCGGGCTCTTCTGAACAACGTGCGAAGCCTGTGTCTGGCTCGGGGTGACTGACAGCCCCGACAGGTTAACGTGAAGGCTCAGCCGCGACAAGACCAGGGAGCCAAGTGAGGCCGCAGAAGGGGCTGGGGGATGACCAGGGCGTCCTGCGGCCACGTCCGTGCAGAGATGGACACAGGCCCGAGCAGCAGAAGACGCGTGCGCAGGGGGCCCCCAGATTCTGTGCTAGGCCGCTGCTGCCTGGCTGTACTGCCCTACTTTCGTTTGGAAGCTCTTCACTGAAACCCTACCTTCCGGAATTTTTGAGCACGTGTGTGCTTGTCACCAGCAAGACGATGCAAAAGTAAATGAAAAAAAGACCCCTGCCCGTGAAGATCTTAGGAAATAAAATGCAAATAGCAAAAAAAGTAGTATTCCTCACAGTGGACATAAAGCCACCACCAGCTCATTTTAAATGAGTAAAACTGCACCCAGTGAAGGACTCCGTGTCTCCGGCCAAGGTTCCAACGTGATCACCACACTGCAGAGTGCAGAAACAGAACAACCCTTTCACTCTAGAACATTCTACTGCACTGATTTTAGGTTTATGGGGATGTTTTTGTTTTAAACCAAAGAGTTTCGACCAGGACATGGGATCACTGGCTACTTGAGGAAGCAGAGAGCGTCCGACACTACAGGACAAAAGCAGGTCACTTTGGAGGCTTCAATGGAGGTTCAGGTGGACTATCAGTGGCTCCTGCCAGGACGGTGGTGGTAACATGCCGTTAAGGAAATGAAAGGTCGGACTGGAAAGGTGTCTGAGAGTGGAGCCAGACGATCTGTAGGTGGGTGTGTGGTGTGAGAGACGGGATCTGGACCAGCTTCAAGGCCTGCTGTCTGGGGAGACCCTGACACCGCCCAGTGGAGACAAGGAATCAGCAGCCAGGTACTTAAGTTCAAGGGAAGGAATATTATTTTTAAAGAACATCATGGGATTAATTAAAAACAGAAGCTGTACCCAACATCCAAAAAAATAAAGTCTAATAAAGTAAATGAGGTTTCAGCGATAAGTAGCAAAAAAGCATGTTCTTTGAAAACAGGGCTGTACGTTCCAAGATTTCAAATGCAGGCTCCAGAAAGTTTAGAGGCCATCAGCGAGAACATAAATAGAAAGGAACTCAGTTTTGTGACGCATGAAAAAGGTGGTGGGCTGGTAACCGCAAAGACAAACTCAGAAGAGGGGTTCACAACAGAGACCCGAAGTGGGGTGCACAGGAATGCTCACCTTTGTTTTGTTTTCTTCTGCAAAACCAGGGGTGTCGGTGTCCGGCGGGTAGGCAACTGTGATGTAGACGTTATATGGCTTCACCTGCGTTTCAGAAACGACACGTGCCCCAGTGACAGACCTGATTCTGCACCCTCCTCCCTTAGCAACCTGCCCGGGCAGCTGGCATCCACCCCTCATAAATACTGCCCTGGTTTCCTCAAAAGGTGACGAAGCCAACATGAGCTACCACTGACTGCATTGGCAAACTCCTGTTCACGAAGATTGCTTAGAGCGAGGCTGCCCCAGCGCCACCCCAAGGGCCCCATTCTCTGCTCGCTCCCTCCTGGGATCCTTCTCTCTCATCTGGTCTCACCCTCAAGAAAGAAGATGACCACTGGCTCATGAACTGATTTGTTATCAAAATAATCCCAATTTAGATGGGTTTTCTTCACCCTAAAACAAAGACAGGAGGGGGCTGGAGAGAGCAGAGTTCTTGACAGATAGTTCCAGAATGTGAGCTCCTTCAGACAGAGCTGGGAGAGAGGGAGGGGAGCGAGAAGAGGACTGGCTCACTAGAAAGGAGACCACCTAGTTTTCTTTTGGTTGGTCTGTGCTACCAAATCGTCAGCAATAACTTGCCTCAAAAGTCCGCTTTCCAAAATGATTAACTTAAAAAATCTTTTAATGATATAGTTGTACCTAAAAAGACTCAGCTGGAAAGAAAAAAAAAAAAGACCAAAAAATGCCAACAAAGCATCCTTTCGAAATTACTCATTGTACATAAACCATTTCTAGGGTCCTGCTTTCAGTTGGGGGCAATGGGTGGGGAAGACAGAACACTTCAGCGCTCATTAAGCCGAAAGGGATTAGGAGAGCGGCTCAGAGCGAGTCTCTTAGGCCCATTCACTGCAGACACAATCACTTGGACCAAACAGACTGGCTTATCCGGGTTTCAGAAACACAACACCCTCAGCTTAGAGGGGAACAAGGACTGCTTCCACCAAGCACAAACTACTTTAGTTATTGAATTTACTTGCTCGGAAACTTATTTTTCATGGTCCACGTTGATTTCAGTTTTTGTTTACATGGGGACATTTTTCACGGAAGACGAACTCCGAGCAGCGTCTGGCCGGTCTGTGGGTCCCGCAGCTTCCCATGCCTGCAAACCACCTCGTCCAGGGCCTCGGGACCGTGTGCACAGGGGTCACCTTCCGCCCTTGAGTTAGCATCTGCGGCCCACCCAGGTGAAGCCAGAGTGCCAGGTCACACACTGTGCCCTCACTCAGCGAATCCCGAAGCGGTGTGCAGGGCCAGACATAGGGAGGAAAAAAGCCCTAATGACCAGAGTTCTCCTCTCCTCTGTACCCCTGGGCAAACCAGGGTTTACGGCCAAAGAGGGACGAAGGCGACCAGCCTTCGGACGGTCAGCACCTTCTGACCTAAATCAAGGTCACCGCACAGTGGCCCCCTCACCCATCGCACACACAAATGCCACACCCCTCCACGCTCACGCACCTCACCCCCACCCCCTCCCTCCTACTCGCCTCCCTCACCGCTTTTACTAATCAGCTTTGCTACAGCATCATCTGTCCCCTCTCGTGTGGCGTGTGCTGCCTCCCTGCACCACAGGGGAGGTGAATTTGTTGAGACGCCGTCCGGCCCTCAATGGCTGAAGTATCCGCCACAAGGTCCTTTACAGGACATTTTTTCCCGACCTTTTACCTAAGCCCGCAAACAGGACCCCAGGCAAACTCTCCCTGTAGGAAGACAGGTCTGGGCCCAAATCCTCTCCCGGGCTTTTAACATCATCCTGCAGCGTTCCAGTTCAGTGCATGTTGCAACCGAAAGAACTTTCCCTTGCCATTGGCAGCCCGTGATTCTGGACACACACGAGGGTCTCTAAGCTCCCCGATGTGCCAACAAGAAGCCAACAGACACCCACCTGGCAGCTCTGTGCAGCAATCAGCTGTGTCACGCCCCGTGAGGGCGCCACGGCACTTTGGATACTCAACAAGCAGATCCCTCACGACCATCAACTTCATACCAAGGCGAATGTTAACTGTGAACTCAGAGGTCCAGCCAGTCACTTCACTAATGCCCAGTCACAAATCTCTAACTTCACAGAACGCGTGTAAAGGAGCTCCCAGCCAAAGAAGCGTAAACTGTTGCATGGAGAGGAATGAATAAAAGATGCAGAGCTTTACCTGAGCAGCACTTACCTCCATCTGCAATGCTTCGGCCAGTCCCCTGATGGCAAACTTGGAGGACGAGTAGGCTGTGAACCCGAACAGGCCCAGCTGCCCGGCCTGGGAGGACACGAAGACGATCCTGCCCACACGGCGCTCCTTCATGGTGGTGATCACGGCCCGGCTGGGGTACACACTGCCCAGGTAGTTGATGCTCATCAGTCTCTGCAGGGTAGACAGGCCACGTGAGTGAGCAAGACCCCCGGCCATGGCTGCGCTTGTCTGCTCTCCAGACCTGAGTCCCTCCAGGGAGCCCCCGACTGTGCCTTCTATGGGCCTGAGTGGCAGAGTGATGGCATGATGCCAACAGGCCAGGATGGAGACTGTTTCAGCCTCCACCCGCATTCTCCAGGGCCTGCGGTCTGGATTTGCTGGAACAAAGGTCAGAATCCATTTCCTTCCTATAAACAGTATATGTGCGGAGCCTCTGGGTGGCGAAGGGGTTAAAGACACACACAGCACTGTCAAGCTACAGGTGGCCACTGCAGCATGAGTTCGATTCCCGGCCAAGGAGGTGACCCACAGGGCACCTGTCCTGCCCGCTGCTCCCCTCAGCAGTGTACTTCAGTAGATCTGCCTGTTCTGCTCCCCACTCTGTCTCTGGTGAATCTTCTCACCCCGCACCTCTGGGCTGTACCCCAGTACTTGTATGCAAACATAAATAAATCCTTTTTAAAAAAGAGAAGTATATGTGCACTGCAGATTGTGCTTTTTTGCAAGGCAGTCCAAACAGCTCCAGTCCTATGAGTGCTAAGCTCCAGAAGACCACCAGGAGACTCGCACAGTGGTTAACAGCCTGAGGTGTGAAGCCTGGCGCTAGCATTTGCTGTGACACTGATGCCTCATGAAGAGGGGTCCGCTCTGAGAAAGGCAGCCTCGCCCTGGGGAGCACACCACAGTGGGCTGGCCGAGCGCCTGGGTCACGAGCCCAGAGCCTGTTACCGAACGGTGCGGACGACGGTAACACAGAGGGGTCTGCGCCTCGAAAGAGATGGAAAAGGCCAGAGAAAATAGAGTGTAAGAGAGAAGAACGATGTCGGGTGCTCAGCACAGATGATGCTTACAGAACTGGGGGTTGCTGTGGGCGCGTGAGAAGCCTCGAACACACGTCTCACAAACACTGAGGCGACACAGCGACAAGGTGGCTCTTTTCTTCAAAGATCAACGTGCCTTTGCTCACTGCCACTTTTTCTTTGTTTTAAAAACTTTTTCTATTTTTTAGCCTTCTGACTCTTTTGCAATAATGCACAGCTTAAAACACAAATGCGTACCGCTTCGTAGAAATATCTGTTGATATCCTTACATTCTGCAGATCCTCCTATTAAATTACTAGATACTATTTCTACTTCATTTTCTGTGCGTTATAGACTAAGACACCAACAGGCACGCACGCCCAGGCCCACAGCACTGGGGTCAACATCAGTGTGTGCACAAAGGTTGCTAAAAAAACTGAATTCAGAGCACTGGTGTTGTGGCCATTAAAACTGATGCTCGCATTCAAAGAAATAAAACTTAAATGGATGTTTAATGGGGCATCTATCTGAGGAATATACAACTGTCTACTCTAAAAGGTTTCTGCTCCAGGGGGCTCACTCAAGCATTAGTTACAACAGGTAAGACATGGAAACAACCTACGTCCCCACCCGCAAGGCTGGGTAAGGAAGGAGCCTGCCCACGCGGGCGGCTGACTCATCTGCAGGCAACGGCGAGATGCTGCCTTTACAACAAGATGCAGGAGTCGAGCAGAGCAGAGCCGGTCAGAAAGATAAAGACGGCTGCTGGGCAGGTTCACTGCCTGAGCAAGGTAAGAAATCAGAGTAGGTGAACTGATAAAGCAAAATAATTACAAGCTAGCAGACACTGAAAGTGAAGCAGTTTCTGAGTTTAAGAGGGAAGTGGGAGGAAGAAAAGGTCAAAGAGTAAGTGGTGAAAAGAAATGCTTTTACATTAAACATTCAGATCCCCGAAACTTGACAGCTGACCGCTGCCCATGAACAACGGGCCAGGGACACAGGGTAGCCACACTGTTCTCCCCTGGAACCGAAGGAGCAGAGCAGACCTGACCTCAGCCTGACTGGCCACTAGAGCTGTGGTCTTCTCCTCGCTTTCCCCGCCCCTCCCCCCAACCATCGTATTTTTTCACTTGAAGGTGGCAGATTGGACCTTGCGTCCTCCGGAGAACCTTCGGGTCCGGGGAGCAGAGGACTCAGTGGATGGGTGATCCGCTTCAGGGGAACTTGGGGATGGGGGGGTCCCCAACAGGTCATGCATCCACAGCATCCTCTTAGGGCGTGAAAGAGCTGGGCTTGCTGATGACTCTCCACTGTGTCACTGGCCGCTCCCATAGGACTGATGTATTTACAAAGAGCTGCCATAACTCCTAACCCTCTGGCTGAATCACAGAGGGAGTATTTGGAGGGAGAAACACCTCTTTCTAATTGGGAAGAAGATCGCCACTAAAACGATGTCCAAGGGAATTATAGGTAACAAGCACCATTTTCTGCTTTCCCGCATTTTGCTGGCATAGCAATTCAGGAGGGTGTCTGGGAAGACATCGGGTTCCCCCAGCACCCCCGACTCACTACCACCCCTGCAGTGCTCCAGCAGCTGTGCTGACCGAGCAGCCGAGGGCGGGTCTCACTGCTCAGGCTGTTTGTGGCCGCGCTTTCCCTCTGTAGCCTGCACCAAGGCGCCGGGCAAGGTGTTCTCTGGAACATGTTGAACCTGGTGTTCACTTGATCGTAAGTCTTTTCAGGCATCTCTTTCCTTAACAGGAGGGTTTCACCCATGTTGAAGACATGTTCTGCCAAGTAATTTCCGCCCCACAATCAGTTCATTTCTTTCCCCAAAACTTTCCAGCTGCCTTTCTCACATTATGCAGTAAAGAGTGACTCTCGCACATTTTAAACCACCCAAAGGTGGCAGGAAGTGCAATATGGAAAACAAACTGGCTGGCTGGGATCTCGTGGTGCTGAGGGAGGTGCTTCTGCATCTGGGCCCACCCAGGTCACTGCAGGTTTCTCCACAGCGGCTACCAGGCCCTTCTTGGGTTTCTGCTCATTGCTTTGAACGAAGCAGCATCTTTAACAGGTTCCAGTCACTTTGCTGTTGCCCTCTGGGATCGCAGCTCCGATGGGAAGGCACAGGCCAGGCTCTGAGTCACCCTCCCTGGACTTTACTTCCTGTCCCTCCTCACTTTTCACTTCACGTCCAGGTCGGCCGCTCAACCTGCGCCCTCCCTGGCACGGCAGCACTGCGGAGGCCACAGGAGCAGAAAGACCGACATCGATCACGGCCGGGGGAACTGGCCGCCGCAGGAGAGCGGCCGACTCGGGCCTCGCGGCAGCACCTCGCAGCTGGAGGTGCAGCAGGGGTGCCTGGCCCTCCTGGCGATGCCACGGGACATGCGCCGCTCTCATAGCGCAGGTGACAGGGTTAGCGCAGGCCCCCGGCAAGGACAGAGACAGGCGAGGCAGGACACCTGGGGACTCTGTCACTGTCGGCTCCTACTTAGCGGTGGCGGGAGCTCTCTAGCACCAGGCATGTATTCCCCCCCCCCCTTGCTGTTTTCACTAAACATCCAAGAATCTTTCAATGTTTACTATTAAAAATCTTTCAAAACTATTAGCTTGATTTTCACGTCAAACCAAACAATTCCCTAGAGACTCTGAGTTGGCCAGGAAATAGTCACGCACCGGAACATTAAGTAACTTTTAGAAAGGATGTTCGGCACTACCAGGGAGACACACTGATCTGCAAATCTAGAGAAAGCAGAGAACAGACTGTATTTACACTGTGGCTGAACTATTTCAAACATTAAATCGAAGCACAGGTGCAAACGAGGGAAACAGAAAACTAGAAGTGGCTGGGCTCGGCATGGCCACTCGTCCTCAAAATGTCTGCTAACCTCACTGTACTATTTTGATAATAAAATTCCCTAGAACTCTGAAAAAGGATGGCTCCCCAAATCCACAGGTTTATTTACCTCAGCTCCCCGCAGAGACCCCTCAGTAAAGAGAAATAATTCTCCTCAAGTCAACAGCCCACAAGAGCAAAGAAAATAGCGGCACGGGCACTTTGGAGTTTGAAGGACAGTGACGCTCAAAAAAGCTGGGCGCCGGCAGGGCGATGCGGCAGGCAGCCCAGAAGCCCAAGCGGCGCCCAGAAGCGCCGGGCGCAGGGGCGGCGTGGGCTGCGGCAAGGCTGCCGGCCATGAGTCTGTTTAAACAGAGACACGAATTCCCAGTTATCATCAGAGGCTTCAAGTCCGCTTTTTGACACCTGCTGGCAAGGATGAAGACGGGCGTGTCCTGGGCCGTGACACACATCTCGGTTGCGTTAAAGGGATCCAGCCCCTGAAGTATGGCCCCTCACCACGACGGCATTCAATTGAGAATCATGAGAGAAACACTTGGCCCTCCCCGGTGGCGCAAGGGTCACAGCACAGCACTGCAAGCTGTCCGCAGCCACTGCAGCGCGAGCTCGTCCCGGCCCCGGAGCTCACACACAGGGCGCTGCACACCCGTCTCCCTACTGCTCCCCTCGGCAGTGCACTTCGACAGATCTGCCTGTTCCGTACCCCACTCTCTCTCTGGTGAATCCTCGCACCACGCCCCCAACCTCCAGCCTGCACCCCAACTCCTGCATGTGTGAATCTCTGAAACAAAAAGAAGGTGGTGGTGCACAGCAGCAGGCCCCCTCCAGTTTCGCTGACTCAGCTCTCGGCACACAGCTGTCCTCGTGACCTCATTGATTACAGCGAAGGGCACAGGGCAAAGTCCACAGGCGCCAGAGGCACCAGGTCCGAGTCCAGGCACGGGGCGCCCCAGGGCCCCCCTCCCTGCATCAGCCAGGCAGGGAAGGCTCAGCCTGGCCCGGCACGCGGCATCCTAGGTCCATGTGATCTCTGACACAAGGAAAACCAAAACCAAACCAATCAAAACACATAGCTGAGAGAGAATCCACCCAGGTAGAAGCGGGGTCTTCAGAGGAAGGATGCGCCCACTTGGGCGTGGGTCCTAACCGGGGTCGCTGGTCAGCAGCCCCAGCTCGGCGGGCCGGAGACCCGCACCCCAGAGACAGGAGCCGCGGTGGGAAGGACAGCTGAGCATGGGCAGACGAGAAAGACGGATGTGCCCGCTGACGCTGCTAGTTAACTGGCAGATGACATCACTAGCGCCGGCAACGAAGCAGGCGTGTTCTCATGCCGAAGTCCAGCTTCCTCTCCCCGCCCCTCGCTGCCAGGGGCGACCAACAGCCAGGTTCCAGGGCCGGGCCCCGCTGTGCAGAGCCGCTGCCACTGGCAAAGGCACTTACACACGCGGGTGTTTCTTTTAAATGAGAGGCCACTATGTGAGTGGAGCGTACAGTGAGTCCTCTAAGGAGGTCAGGAGTGCCCTAGTGTAATCTCGACAGGCTGCACTGTAGAATTTACTTTGTCCTTCATGCCACCTGCTTCGTGTTTTCTCCTCTCACTGATACTCACACCTCGTCACCTGCCGTTCCACTTAGTTCCTGCTCACAGTTCTGTGCTCACAGTTACACCCCACCGATGATTCAATTATCTCTGTGCATGCATCAGACACACAAAGGTAAGCAACCCCCACCCCCTGCACCCCTGCTCCCAAAGGCCCCAGCTTCACAACTCTGCATCTACTTATCAGAACATGGAACCGCTTTGCCCTCCACTTGGTCAAGGTGAGTCTATCACCTATGCGCGCACACACACGCACACACACACACAGAGTTATATTTCTGCCACCTTACACATCCTTTCTGCATGTCAAGCTTAGACTGCTTCTATTTTCACTTACTTGATTCTTTACACAAATCACCTCCTTTCCTTACTTAGAAGTGGGCAGGTCAAGACGACTCCCCTTCATGTCGGGTTGATGAAGGGGCTGCGGGTACTCAAGGCCCAGGTAAGCTGCCACTCTGCCATCGACTTCCGCTCTCCCCGGGCTTAACCTTACAGCAGAGTTCAGGGTGCTTTTCCTATCATATTCCAAAAGCAAAAGCTATAAACGTGGGTCCAGCAGTCTCCTTTTCTACGACAGAGGCATGAAGCTGAACTTCGCGGAGAAAAACACTTTCAACCCCAGACTACAATGAAGACCACGAAGAAATAGATGGTGGACGCAACGGCAGCTGAGAAAAAGCGGTCGGGACTTCCAGATTTCAAACGGGATGCCTGCTTCTTTTTCTTTTTTATAGACAGACACAGTTTTTTTCAAGTAGTTGCACAACATTCCAGGGATAAAGTTACTTAATCCTCCAAGAGAATTACTGTTTGTGATCTGACTGCAACTGACAGCTTTTACATACAGTCACAAGCTGCTCCAGATCACTCTGGTAACGACGCCCAACAGGCGACAGGTGTCTTCACCACACAGACTTCCCACAAGATGCATGAAGCACCCAAGACCATTTCCACTTCTTTAGGGCCGAAATGACTCAGAGCAGTTCCACAGCAAACTTGCTTAACAATATAAATAGGACTGATATTGAACAAGTAAATCTGACTTTCTTTTTTATTGTTGTTAAAAGTACTAGTACTCAACATGAAAACCCAGCATCCGGTGCCTTAAAAAAGCTCTCTTAAATTTCTTACCTCCATGGTATATTACATCTCAGTAATCCGTAGCACTAGAGAGCTCATTGCCTTGTTTATCTTTGCTGGACCATTGGTTAGGGTGCTAAGTGTTAGGAGGACAGCTTCACACTCATAACTATATATTCCACACCAAGACCACCACCAAAGGCCTTACCAGAAAGACAAGAAAGAACAGGGATTAGAGTGCAGCACTATGAAACTAGCTGCGATCATTGCAGCACGAGTTCAATTCCTAGCCAGGGAGTGACCCACATGGCACAGCAGACTTCTCCTGTCTCGCCTGCTAACCCTCAGCAGTGGATTTCAGTGGATTGGCCTGTTTTGCTCCCCACTCTGTCTCTGGTGAACCCCCTTACCCCCTACACCTCTGGGAGGAAGGGGGGAGGGAGGGAGGGAAGCAGGGAAGCAGGGAGGAAGGAAGGAGCAAGTGCCAGAGGTACCAAATCCATGTCCAGAGGGAGCCAGTTGTTCCCTCTGGTGAGGGAGTGGGAAAAGGGGTACCTCATTCATTGGTGGTAGGAAGGCAGACTGTGAGCTAACTTTGGAAAACTGTGCAGAGGTTGCTCAAAAAATTAAAAATGGAGGCCCTCCCTGGTGGTGCAATGGGTTAGGGTGCAGCACTGCAAGCTGGCTGCAGCCACTTCAGTGCATGTTCAATCCCTGGCCCCGGAGGTGACCCACAGCAGACCTCTCCTGACCCACCCGCTGCTCCCCACAGCAGTGTATTTCAGTCAATCTGCCTTTTCTGCTCCCCACTCTGTCTCTGGTGAGTCTTCTTGCCACGCCTGCACCTCTGGCCTGTACCCCACTTCTGTATACATAAATAAGTCTTTAAAAAAAGAATTAAAGATGGAAGTAGCATATGATCAGCAATTTCACTTGTAGGAATCTATCCCTAGAAGATGGAAACAGTAATCCAACAGCAAAGGGCCCACGGATGGTCCCTGACACCACTGGCTCCCATGTGACAGGTAGGGAAATCAGGGCCCAGAGGCTGGTATAAGCTCCTAGGCTGAATGGCCACAGCACCGGCACCAAAACCTTGCCCACATAAACAGGTGCGTAAAGCCTTTGCCCATGATCTTATGCTACTGTTAAGATTATGTTCGCCCAATGAGCAAGCACCAAATTTTTACTTACTTCGAAACTACTAACTTCAAGGTCTTCAAATTTTCCTGAAACTGACATTCCTGCACAGTTCACAAGCATGTCCACAGGGCCCAGCTTCTCCTGTGCCTGGAAAAATTGATCACAGAGGACACTGAGAGAAGAAAATTCACTCTACAGCCAACGAATGCCAATCAACCACATCGCTAAAATGATTAAACCTCTAGGGACGATTTACCAACTCCAAGCCACCCAGCATAATGGTGAACCAATCGAAAGGCAGGTGAGCTACCTGCTGTCAGCCCAGCGCTTACCTGTTTTATGACATTCTCCACCTGGTTGTAGTCTTGAGATATGTCGACTGATATACAGAGCACCACCTGGGAGAGCGACAGCAGTGACTGAAGCTAGACAGGAGCTGGAACTTTCATGAAAGACTTCTTTCTTCTTCTTTTTTTAACTAAAGGCCACACTGTTTTCCATGCTTATGGAGTCTGAATTTGAACGTATAGATCAGATTTTTTTTAAATCTAAGGACGGGGCATTTAGTAGGGTGTCATTTTTTGACAGTTTTCACAGATAGCTCCTTTAAAGCAAATCAAAGGAATGTTTTAAGAAATCTATCAGAGGGTGGAAACCTTCAGGTAGAAGATGAGCACATTCTGGGGGCCGAAGTGTCAGCGTGGGGGCTGTGGCTAGTCATATCGAGCTATGTGCTTGACAGGTGCGAGGGGAGCTGGAGCCCAAGTGTTTACCCCACAACCAGAAATGGTAACTGGGTGCGGTGACGGGCGTGCTGACCACCGCACTGGCAGACATGTACTGACCCATCACACTGACAGCCTAAATACATCTAATTCCCATTTGTCAATTATACCTCCAAAAAGCTGCAAATAGGGGGTGGGAGGTGTGAAATGTCCCTATCTGTAAGGACAGAAAAAAGATCTGAGATTGTCAGTGGCTGAGGGAGGGAAGGACGGACTGGGGGGGACAAGGCTCCCCAGGGTGACGGAAATGCTGCTTCTGGATATTTTGGTGGTGTTTTCACCACCTGTCACATCTGTCAGAGCCATGAGCTGTCATCTTTAAATGGCTGTGGTTTACTGCACATAAATTTCATCTCAATGTGAAAAAGAACACTTAAGTTACATCAAGAACACACCAGTCTGAGCTCAGCTTTGCTGATACAGAAATTCAGTTGTTAAAAAGAATAACAGCAAGGCCCTCCCTGGTGGCGCAGCGGGTTAAAGCACAGCACTGAGAAGCTAAAGCCACTTCCGCATGAGTTCGATCCCCGCCTGCCCCGGAGGTGACCACATGGCGTGGCAGACCTCTCCTGGCCCGCCTGCTGCTCCCCTCAGCAGTGTACTTCGTCGATCTGCCTGTTCTGCTCCCCGCTCTGTCTCTGGTGAATCCTCTCACCCTCCGCATCTCTGGCCTGTACCCCAGTTCTGTATGAATGAATAAATAAATAAATCTTTAAAAAAAAAAAAAAAAGAATAACAGCAAACCGAATAAACACAATTAAAACTGCTCCCCGCAGTCCTGGCAGAGCAGGGACTGTCCTCCTGAGATCCAGTATCAGGGAGTTGGTGGCGTGCCGAGATAAGCTGGCACACAGACTGGCACAGCTGGCCCCAGGGAGGGCCCCAGTCCTGACCCAGGTGACAGCATCTCCACCCTGAGCCAGGTGTGGCAGCATCTCACAAGGCCAAGGGTTAATCTCAGGTGGGAGGTGATCAGGCCAGTCCCGTTCTGATCTCTGGGGCTCTCCAGTTGTCCCCAGTTCCAGACCGAGAGGCCACTCACTGGTGCTCCAGAGGAGGGGCCACCCAGCCCCACTGAAATAAATACACATTAAATATATGTACCATTTTATTCATCAACAACTTCCATAATCAAAGGAAGAATTTAGTACCACTCTGCCCTTGAGTGTTTGTATAAAATTAATTTAAGTAAATAAGTAAAGCCATTTTCTACTAAAGCATTCTGTTATTTCATCACCGGTGTGTGTGTGTCTACATGTATGTCTGTAATAACCTGGATGAGACAATTCGAACAATTTCACTATCTCAAAAATAGTCTAATATATATAACTAAGGAAATCCCACATGCTTTCAATGAAGCAGTCACTGTTGAGGTATTCCTTTTTAAATCCTTAATACAAATACGCTGATGAGCAAGGAGACATATTGTGCAGAGACGGCGACTTTACCTGCTTGTCATTAATAGAGTGGCTTTCGATTTCTTTCTTCGCCTGCAGCAACTTCTCCTAGAAGCAACAGGGAACAATTAGTTCTGGGGACTGTTGTGGGGTCTGTCCATTTGACGGCTCGCTTGTGTAAAAGACAAGCGAGACAATTATTTGCGTAAGTACTTACTAAATTCTAGAAAACACACAAGACAGCAGCTAAACCACATGGCTACAGGCACAGTCTATCGTTTAAAAAAAGAGGTTTTAAAGCGTGTTAACACATGACCACGAGACAGCAAATTTTGACACTCCCCACAGAGAAGGATGATGGGAAACTAAGTGAACTTCAAATTCCACTACTAGTGCTAACTGCTCAAGATCAAATTATCGATTCTTTTCATTATCTTTTTTTGCTGCTTTTCACTTCTTTACCTTTTGGGTATTTTTTCTTTATTGTTTCTCCCCTATACCTCATCAACTCTAATAAATGCTTCGATCAGCCATTTAACTATAGCACAAAGCAACAGTCGTGTGACCACGTAAGGCTTTCCAAACGTAAAGACACGTGGGACTCCACATCAGGAAAGCTTTCAACAGAGCGCTTCCGACGTTTTCCTCCTCTACTATAAAAGGAAATCTAGTAGAAATGACTGTCCAGGTAGACAGGGCGACTCTGCTTGCCTACGTCCAGCAGTTAAGCCAAGCAAACCCTCCCGGTAATGAATTCCTCCCAGGTCTCAATGAATAAGTTTGTCTTATTCATTTGCAGTGCCTTGATTGACTACAAGAGTTGTAGGTTAAATACACCTTACTGGGAGAAAACAAGGGGGGGGGGGAGGAGAATGGATTCCTCCTGGAGACAGGGTCTCTCTTCCAAAGAAGAGAGCATCTGTGATAAAACAACACTACTTTTAGTCGCAGACTCACAATCTGACTTTGTTGAAATTGGAACTAAAAGGTTCTATCAGAAAAGAAAGAATTTCTTGAGGCCAGAGGCTCCGCCCACGCATCTGTGGCCACGCGAGCTCCTCCCCACACTCTGCTCTGTCTCAGGCACATAAGAGCTCTGCTTCCATCACACGGCGTTCACACAAGGCGGCCACAAGCCAAAGTAAGTTCGTTGCCAGGAAGGCCAAGGTATGACGGCCACTAAGCAAATTCTGCCTTTCTTGATCTTAAGAGAAACTCTGGCCACCAAGCCGTGTCACTATTTAAGCACAGGCCTCTCCTCGGCACCCCCAAACCTTCCAGAGACTGCCCTTCCCCTAGAGCCTGCTCGCTCTGCGCCCCCACGCTAATCCCACACGCTTGCCTTCTCTTGCACGGGGGAGCCCCGCTGCCCCCGCGAGCACGCCCACATAAAGACCACTTCAGCCATAACATACTCTGAAACATAAGAAAAACCGACTTGTGTCGACGGGGCTCCAAAAAAGACCCGTTTTGTAAAGCTGATGGAGAGAATGGATTCCTCCCTGGGCTCCAGGTTTCATGAAGACGTGCGTCGCATCAAATGCCAGTTACAGCACCGCGCCCACACGTCCTTCAGGAGCGGTCTCCTGCCACCTGGCTCTGCCAGTGGCCGCCGGGAGGCCGCTCTGCCTCCAGGGCCAGCAGGAGCCCCGTCACTCCGTCCTCGCCTCTCGCACCAAGAGTGAGGAGAGTGGCTGGCACGAAATACCTATTTGCAGAGCTGACCCCTGACTCCCTCCAAGAAGTTTCTGCCTTGAGTGTGAGAAATAAGCAGTGAGTGGCTAGGGAGCGGCACCCTAAGCCAGAGATGGGAGCCACTCCCAGCTGGGGAACACAAGCTCCGCCCTCCTGGGGACTCTGGACAGTCTCTCTGGCCCTCGAGTGAGCAAGCGGGCAGCACCGTGCTAGAGACTTACCTCATTGCGAGCCACCAGCGTGATGAACGCTCCCTGCTTGTAGCACTCGATGGCGATGCACTTGCCGATGCCGCTGGAGCCTCCTGTGACCTGAACACACAGGAGAGAGTCGTCTCTGCGCACAGAACCCACGACGGTGCCCGGGCCGGGCCTGCTGCTCCGGCTGATTTCAGACTGCACTATAAACTGCACTCAGATTTTGCTGAGTTCGTGGGCGGGGAAGTGCCCTGTAATCTAGCTGACTACGAACCCACTGGTCTATCTCTGAGTGAAAATCCAAACTCCTATGTCCTTGCTGCACACCTTATGCACAACCAGCTCTACACGATACACCTGTATCTTGGTATTTTAAATCACTGATTATTATAAAGGAGCATCAGAGCCCAGGCAGATGCTAAAGAGCAAAGCTTCTCGCCCTCTTCTGTCCCTCCCTCCCAGCAACCGTCCCTACACCCTGGCATCCTTGAGTTACCCGCTCCCTCCAACCTCGGCCCCTCCAAACTTTTACACATTCCACTTGCCCTGCCCGCCTCCCCTCTTTTCATCGAGCTGGTGCCTACTCACCCACTAACGCTCAGCTCGATCATCACTTCCTCAGGGAAATCTTGACCGCTCTGCCCCCATCTCAACCCGCCTCTCAGCCCTGCATCGTTGCATTCTTTACTGGCTAGCATTCACCTAATCAAACCACTGTGCCTCTATTTGTGAGCTTACATGACTTCCAACCACTCTACCACTGTTCCACGAAGTCCATAAAAACACGAACGCTGTTTGCTTCCTAGCACTTAGCACAGTGCCTGGCATACAGGAAGGACTCTGTCTATCTCAGAAGACCAATGCGACATTATCTTTCTAGTCATTTTCTCCATGTAAATTATATAAACGGGGTGGGAGCCCAGGGTTGTCAGGGGAGGGGTAATAGGGAACTGCGGGACAGATATCCCTCCGTACATAGTATATATACCACTTATATTTTACTGTTACACTATATACCATTGTGTAATGAACACCTCTGACCCCAGGCCATGGTTTTAAGAGCATCATGATCTTTTCTTTTTTTTTTTTTTTTCCCCTGCCGAACTGGGGTGTAAGATAGAGGTGGGGGCAGGGTGTCAGAGGAGTCACCAGAGACAGAGTGGGGAGCTGAACAGGTGGATCTACTTGAATACACTGCTGAGGGGAGCAACAGGCAAGGCAGGAAAGTTCTGCTACATCTTATGTAGGTCAGCTCCATGGCCGGAGATCAAACTCAGGCGGTGACAGTGCTGAGACTTAACCCCTTGACCACCAAGATCACCATGACCTTTAAAACTGGGATGGGGGTCAATCTCCAGGGAATTCTTGAGGCATCCAATCTCTCTTTATCTTCAAGGTCCTTCCTTGAAGAAAACTCTGGTTAATAATTAACCAATTATCTACAAAAAGTTACTATAAAAACATACCAGTTGCTAGGTGAACAACTGCCACAGAGGAGATCTTAATAGGATATTTCCAGAGTTGAGTCAATTTATTAATTTCCACCAGATAGTCCAATTCCATAGCAACAAGGATGACCCCTCAAAATGTCCCTGAGTATCTCCTGATCTTGATCCTGCTTAGATAGCCCACTGCATGCGCATTTCCAAACCCTACCTCTACTACAGAGGCTAGTTCCAATGTCTCCTCTGCCAAAAAGCTTCTCCCCTCTCCATCACTCGGTCCTGCCCTTTCCATGTCACCTTCCAGCTCTGCATGTATTAGCTCCCTTGTAGGCCATAAGTACTTTGAGAATGAGCACCAACCTTAATTTACCACACTCATTTCTAGCACTGTCCCTTGCATTAAGTAGTAGCTAAATAAACATTTTCCTGTATGAGTTTGCAAAATGGTATATGATGCCATTCTCAAAAAAAATATGATGCAAAAGAAAAAACCCTAAGTAGAATTCCCTGTTTGTATTAATGGAAGCAGAAGTTGTGCAGTTACTATGAAAGCGTACATGCTCTGAACTGCTACGAAGCTAGAGTAGCTACTGTTACTACTGCTGCCTGTACCTATACTTTGGTAAGCCAGATGTGTAAGTTACTGCTCAGCAAAGAACAAGGTTCAACCCAATCACTTATAATCTGTGTCCATAAAAACAAAAATAAGACTTCAACTCTGAGTCCACAGTTCATGGAAAACTAACCTTCGAGTCAATTCAACTAATTCTTAGGGGTCTAAGAGTCCTTGAAGTCAATTTTAGGTTATGTTATTCTTGAATGTTACAAGAAACTGTAACAGACGTTGATAAGGGGCCTGATAACTCACACACTGAACCCAGACTGGGAATACTAAAAGCAACAGGTTAATTTCTTATCTTTATTACTCCCTCTTACTGTGCATTGCCAACATTGTTTATAGGTTAATACCTCTTTAATTACAGCACACACCACTTCCTGAAGGCAAGAGAGGGGGTGGTTTGTCCTAAGGAGAACAGCCCCCAGCCCAAAGGGGGAGGACTTGATTTTCCAGTTCTCATCAAGTTAATTAAACAGTTTTAAAAAACAGCTAATTTAAATAAGCACACACCCTGTTAGATTTATGCACAGTTTTACTCCTGTGATTAGGGAGATAACACTAGATTTGTTCCTTAAAAAAAAAAAAAAAAAAAAAAAACCTGAGGCCCTGCCTGGTGGTGCAGCAGGTTAAAGCACAGCACTAAGAAGCTAAAGTCACTTCTGCATGAGTTCGATCCCCGCCCCAGAGCTGACCCACATGGCGGGGCAGACCTCTCCTGACCCTCCCCTCAGCAGTGTACTTCCTCAGTTGGCCTGTATGCTCCCCACTGTCTCTGGTGAATCCTCCACCACCCCTGCACCTCTGGCCTGTACCCCAGTTCTGCATGCAAAAATAAATAAATCTTTAAAAAAACTGTAAGTAATGACTGAAGTCTGCTCATACCTCCACACAAGCAGATCTCCTACACAGTGCTCTCAGCATCACCCATTCAGGACTACGAAAACCTCACGATAGATGTTTACACCTTCACTCCTCTTACAACATTAAAAAAGCAGGGAGATGGTGACATCATGTGAATTATTCATGTCGTCCTCACCTTATTTATAGTGGTGAATTAAAACGGGGTGTTGAAAATAAGGAGTCTTGGTGGAGGGCTCTAGACCTGTTTTATTGTCATCTCACCTATGCTCGGCAGCATGATGGAGTGGTGTCAAAACTCCCCTCGATAAACAAAATCAAAATTGTTCATGACATCTTTTTCCAAGTTAAGCATAATTCTGCAAGAATCTGGTTTTCAGAGCCAGCGATTGGTGGCAGAAGTTCCCTTATCAATGTGACACTTTCAGAATTTAGCCTGAGGGTAAAGTGTCGCCGCTCTATTCCTTTTAAAATAAATTTACACTCACCCCCCCACCTCGGCTACCTTCCACATCAGGAATAGCAGGAGTTGGAAATAGAGTGAGTCTTACAAAGGCGATATTAAAGAAAAACCGTTCTGACATTCACAACCTGTCGTCCAGGCGCACACTAAAAGAAATGACCATTCATGTCATCCTATCTGGATCCCAGCTAAGGCACGTTTCCTCACCTCTAGCACCTGGAGGACTCATGCAACCAGCTGCATAACTAACTCTACCCATAACCTCCGGCCTCGGCGTGCCTGGGAGTTGCGCACCCAACGGAGAACACGGACAGGCTCAAGCCTGGGGCGCAGGTAAGGACCGTGTTCTCCCGGTTCGGAAAGGGCATTTTTCAAGCCACCAGTTTCCGGTAAGAAACGGCCAAAGCCATCTGCATCCATGGTCCCTAAAGCACTGGCCCGGTCCCTGACCTGACGGCAGAGGACTGCACTGAGAGCAGTCAGCGGGCTCGGCGGGGCTCGGCGGGGCAGCAGTGGGGACGGACCGACGCGCTCCCACGCCGCTAGCCAGGGCCACCCCGGGGCTCGCAGCAATCCCCCCAGTGAGTCACTTCCTGGGTTCCTTGGCACCTGCTCCTCCAGTCGCCCACAGAGGTCATCTTCCAGTTCCCAGCCGCCTGGGCGGGTCCTGGACACCGGGTCCCCTTCCCCAGCGGCCCGCTCCCCGCGACTCCCCGCGACTCGGCCGGGACCGCGCTGGCCGTGCGCGGCCACCGACCGCGGTGCCCTTGGCAAAGAAGTTTCTCAGCCCCTCAGTTCCTCGGGCGACTCCCCGAGAAACGGAGAACACAACCAGCCCCATCCCGGGGAGGCCCCGGGGCTTCGCGAGCGGCCCGCCAGCCCCCGGCGCGC